CGGTCCGTTGCAAAATGTTTATGGCGCAAACTACTTCCACAGTTTTCAAGGGATTCCAATCAAATTTCATACACTTCGTCACCATTAAGTGTAGATGTGCGCGACATATTTCTTGTGTGCGTTCATCAATGCGTTGCTATGGAAACCGTATCTCATCCTTGATTATACCCCCGCCGTTGCAAAAAGTTTGTGGTGCGATCTACTTCCACAGATTTCAAGGGATTCCAATCAAACTTCATACACTTGGTCACCATTAAGTGTAGATGTGCGCGACATATTTCTTGTGTGCGTCCATCAACGCGTTGCTATGGAAAGTTCAAACCGTATCTCATCCTTGATTATACCCCCGCCGTTGCAAAAAGTTTGTGGTGCGAACTACTTCCACAGATTTCAAGGGATTCCAATCAAACTTCAGACATTTGATCACCATGAAGTGTAGATGTACGTGACATATTTTGTGTGTGTGTTGGATGTCTCTCAGTCTCAGTGGTTGTAGGGGAATGGAATATGTGGGTGTATAGATGATTAGGGGAAGGACAATGGTGTTATAGTAGGAGAGCCGAGGGCTTGCAGTCGTGGTTGTCAGTCGTGGTTGTTCAACTTACTATGTCGTGTGCATGTGTGTGTTATTTTCTCAAGGTGTGTCAACGGTGAGGAGTTAGATATGCTGAGGACTCAGGAGTGTCACTAATTTAGCGTAATGGGGGTATAGTGGAAGGAAACAGCGTCTCTGAGGAATGGAGGAGGCTATATAGGGTTAGATGTATCGGGAACTGTGTTTGTTAGATGTCTGCAACGAAATGCAGAAGGCGAGGGATTAGATGTGTTGGGAACTGTGTGCATTGGATGATGATATACTCAAAGAATGTTGGAGGCGAGGTTTAGGTGACGTTCTTGTGCGGTTAGCCCATGATAGACGGTGGAACAACTGTTGGCAACAAATATTGTAGGATGTTTTAGTTTTAGTTTTACTTAGCGTATTGTGTGGCACAGATGTTAGTGTTGGTAGTAATGTCAGGCCGTTGTCTTACTTGCCCAGTAAAGTGGTGGTGGTTGGCACTGATGGGTGTAATATCGGTGATAGATGTGTGTGTGTCCTGTAACAGGGTTAGAAATTAACTTGGTTGCCAACAATCAACTACTTGCTGGCAGTGAAAAGGGCAGGCAGCAAGTTTACTCACCCAGCAGGCAGAATCTTTGGTGCTTTTTTTATGGTGTATTAGGAATATCTTAGCAGCAAGCATTGACTGCTGACGTTGAAAGCAAATAGCTAGCTGACTCTTGCACCCTTGTAGGCAGCAAAACTGCTGCTTGCTGCCCTCAATTTTGAACTGTTGTGTCCCTTGCTGTTTGCAGGTTTGCTGTAACGTGGGTGGTTAGCAGAGATTATTTGGCCAGTCAGTATTATTTTGAGACCCTCAGT